AAGGTAGAGGACAGGTAGACAGGAGGGGGATAGGTAGACAGGTAAGGTAGGAGAAGGGGAGATCAGTGAACAGGAGAGGTCAGGAGACAAGTGGGGGGATCAGTAGACCCGGTAGGGATCAGTACACGGGGGGATAGTAGACACAGGTAGGTCAGGTAGACACAGGTGAGGATCAGGTAGACAAGTAGAGTCAGGTGACACAGGTAGGATCAGGTAGAACAGGTGGGATCAGGTAGACAAGGTGAGGATCAGGTAGAAAGGTGAGTCAGGTAGACAAGGTAGAGGTAGTAGAAAGGGAGGATCAGGTAGACACAGGTGAGGATAGGTAGACACAGGTGAGGATCAGGTGACACAGGTAGGGATCAGGTAGACACAGGTGAGGATAGGTAGACAAGGTAGAGGTCAGGTAGCACAGATGGAGGTCAGGTAGACACAGGAGAGATCAGGTAGACACAGGTAGAGGATCGGTAGACAAGGAGAGATCAGGTAGACAACAGGTGGAGATAGGAGACACGGTAGGGGATCAGGGGAGACACAGGTAGAGGATCAGGTAGACACAGGTAGAGGTTCAGGTAGACACAGGAGAGGATCAGGTAGACACAGGTAGAGGATCAGGTAGACACAGGTAGAGGATCAGGTAGACACAGGTAGAGGATCAGGTAGACACAGGTAGAGGATCAGGTAGACACAGGTGAGGATCAGGTAGACACAGGATGGGAGGATCAGGTAGACACAGGGTGAGAGGATCAGGTAGACACAGGTAGAGGATCAGGAGATACAGGTAGGGGATCAGGTAGAAAAGGAGAGGATCAGGTAGACCCCAGATGGGGTAGAGGAACAGGTAGGACAGAGCACAGGTGAGGTTCAGGTAGACACAGGTAGAGGATCAGGTAGACACAGGAGAGGATCAGGTAGACACAGATGGAGGATCAGGTAGACACAGGAGGAGGATCAGGTAGACACAGGTAGGGGATCAGGTAGACACAGGTAGAGGATCAGGTAGACACAGGTAGAGGTTCAGGTAGACACAGGAGAGGATCAGGTAGACACAGGTAGAGGATCAGGTAGACACAGGTAGAGGATCAGGTAGGGCACGGTAGGGATCAGGTAGACACAGGTAGAGGATCAGGTAGACAGGAGAGGATCAGGTAGACACAGGTAGAGGATCAGGTAGACACAGGTAGAGGATCAGGTAGACACAGGATGGGAGGATCAGGTAGACACAGGTAGAGGATCAGGTAGACACAGGTAGAGGATCAGGTAGACACAGGATGGGAGGATCAGGTAGACACAGGAGAGGATCAGGTAGACCCCAGGATGAGGATCAGGTAGACCAGTAGGTAGCGGATCAGGTAGACACCGGAGGGGATCAGGTAGACACAGGTAGAGGATCAGGTAGACACAGGATGGGAGGATCAGGTAGACACAGGTAGAGGATCAGGTAGACAAAGGATGGGAGGATCAGGTAGACACAGGTAGAGGATCAGGTAGACACAGGATGGGAGGATCAGGTAGACACAGGTAGAGGTTCAGGTAGACACAGGTAGAGGATCAGGTAGACACAGGTAGAGGTTCAGGTAGACACAGGTAGAGGATCAGGTAGACACAGGAGGGATCAGGTAGACACAGGTAGAGGTTCAGGTAGACACAGGTAGAGGATCAGGTAGACACAGGATGGGAGGATCAGGTAGACACAGGATGGGAGGATCAGGTAGACACAGGTAGAGGATCAGGTAGGACACAGGATGGGAGGATCAGGTAAGAGACAGGGTAAGGATACGGTAGACACAGGTAGAGGATCAGGTAACACAGGATGGAGGTTAGGTAGACACAGGAGAGGATCAGGTAACACAGGAGAGGATCAGGTAGACACAGGTAGAGGAAGGTAGACACAGGATGGAGGCCGGTAGACAGGTAGAGGATCAGGTAGACACAGGTAGAGGATCAGGTAGACACAGGTGGAGGATCAGTAGAACAGATGGGAGGTTCAGGTAGACACAGGAGAGGATCAGGTAGACACAGGTAGGTAGGTCAGGTAGACACAGGTAGAGGACAGGTAGACACAGGAGGGGGATCAGGTAGACACAGGTAGAGGATCAGGTAGACACAGGTAGAGGATCAGGTAGAACAGGTAGAGGTTCAGGACATTAGGAAACACAGGAGAGGATCAGGTAGAACAGGAGGAGAGGATCAGGTAGACACAGGTAGAGGATCAGGTAGACACAGGTAGAGGATCAGGTAGACACAGGTAGAGGATCAGGTAGACACAGGTAGGAGGATCAGGTAGACACAGGATGGGAGGATCAGGTAGACACAGGTAGAGGATCAGGTAGACACAGGATGGGAGGACTCAGGTAGACACAGGTAGAGGATCAGGTAGACACAGGTAGAGGATCAGGTAGACACAGGTAGAGGATCAGGTAGACACAGGATGGGAGGATCAGGTAGACACAGGAGGAGGATCAGGTAGACACAGGAGAGGGTCAGGTAGACACAGGTAGAGGATCAGGTAGACACAGGATAGGAGGTCAGGTAGACACAGGTAGAGGATCAGGTAGACACAGGAGAGGATCAGGTAGACACAGGTAGAGGATTTAGGTAGACACAGGAGAGGATCAGGTACACAGGTAGGGGGGGGTCAGGTTAGACACGGAGGGAGGATCAGGTAGACACAGGAGAGGCTCAGGTAGACACAGGTAGAGGATAGGTAGACACAGGAGGAGATCAGGTAGAACAGGTAGGGGGATCAGGTAGACACAGGTAGAGGATCAGGTAGACACAGGATGGGAGGATCAGGTAGACACAGGATAGAGGATCAGGTAGATACAGGTAGAGGATCAGGTAGACACAGGAGAGGATCAGTAGACCAGGATGGGAGGATCAAGGTGGAGGATAGGGAACAGGAGGATCAGGTAGAGAACAGGTAGAGGATCAGGTAACACAGGTAGAGGATCAGGTAGACACAGGTAGAGGATCAGGTAGACACAGAGAAGGATCAGGTAGACACAGGTAGAGGATCAGGTAGACACAGGAGAGGATCAGGGAAAGGTGGACGTAGACCACGGTAGAGGATCAGGTAGACACAGGATGGGAGGATCAGGTAGACACAGGTAGAGGATCAGGTAGACACAGGTAGAGGATCAGGTAGACACAGGTAGAGGATCAGGTAGACACAGGATGGGAGGATCAGGTAGACACAGGTAGAGGATCAGGTAGACACAGGTAGAGTCAGGTAGGAGACAGGAGATCAGGTAGAACAGGTAGGGTCAGGTAGACACAGGTAGAGGATCAGGTAGACACAGGATGGGAGGATCAGGTAGACACAGGATGGGAGGATCAGGTAGACACAGGTAGAGGATCAGGTAGACACGGGTAGAGGATCAGGTAGACACAGGTAGAGGATCAGGTAGACACCAGGAGAGGATCAGGTAGACACAGGAGAGGATAGGTAGACACGGGTAGAGGATCAGGTAGAACAGGTAGAGGATCAGGTAGACCCCAGGAGGGATCAGGTAGACACAGGAGAGGATCAGGTTAGACACAGGTAGAGGATCAGGTAGATACAGGTGGAGGATCAGGTAGACACAGGAATGAGGATAAGGTAGAAAGGAAGGTGAGGTCCCTAAAGCGAGGATCGATAGATAAATATAATGTCTGAACGGTTAAGGTTAGTTAATCTATGTACAGGGTTAGATATAGACAAGATGGAGGTCAGTGACAGGATGTAGAATATGTATATAATGTAAGTTACAGGTTTGACATAATCTATGGTACACGGTGTAGAGAATAATGTCTAGTTACAGGTAGAAGATGGTAATAATAATGGTCTAGTTACAGGGTAGATAGATATATATAATGTCTATGTTACAGGGGTAGTAGAAATAAGGTCAGTACACAGGAGTAGGATATAAAATGATAAGGTCATGTTAAGGGTTAGAGATAGGTAGACAATGCATGTTCCGAGTAGATATAAAATATATAATATCTATGAGGTGATATAAATGTCTTGACAGGTGAGTATATAATATTAATGTCTATGTTACAGGGTTAGATAATAATGTCTATGTTCAGGGTTAGATTAATATATAATATGTACATTTAGTTACAGCGTTAGTAGTTTAATATATAATGTCTATGTTAAGGGTAGATAGATATATGTTCAGGTTAACATATAAGTTATGATATAAATAATTATTTGTCTATGTTACAGGTTATAGAGATTAGTATTTAGATATATAATAATATCTATGTCTATGAGGGTTAGATATATAATATATAATGTCTATGTTACAGGGTTAGATATATAATATATAATGTCTATGTTACAGGGTTAGATATATAATATATAATGTCTATGTTACAGGGTTAGATATAATATATAATGTCTATGTTACAGGGTTGATTAATAAATATATAATGTCTAGTTCAGGGTGTAGATAATATATAATGTCTATGTTCAGGGTGATATACAGATGATGTCTATTTAAAGGAGTGATGCAGTGATGATAGTAACGACGTGATGCTGAGGTGACAACAGCTCTAGGGTGGAGTCTAAAGGTGCTGGCAGTTGTTCGCTCCTCCGGAGGAAACCACCCATGGAGACTGTCACACAACTCAAACTCATCAAAGGACCTAAAGGTGTGTGTTTCAGATAGACTTGTTTCCATGAAAAGATTGACTGTGATCTTGTTCATACAGTAATTTGAAATCTGAAAAACCTCCTCATCCCACCCCCTACGCGAACAAGACGTGACACGAAGACTGCCAGACTCGAAAACGAGAAGAGGAACGAATTCGACGGAAGAACCACATAGCTACGAAGAAGAGCACCTAAGCAACATCAACAAACGAGCTACCAGACATTCCGCAACTACGTCTCTCACAGAGAACGTCATCATCTACTCTCCCTCCTCTCTATCCTCCCTCCTCCTCCTCATCCTATCCTCCCCATCCTCTCTTCCTCCTCTCCTCCTCCTTCCTCCTCCTCCTCCTCGTTTCAGGGTTGGGGTTCAGTATAGCAGGTGGACTAGGGAACCAGCATGTACCAGGGGACAACAGTATCTATGTGACTAAGATCATCGAGGGAGGAGCGGCCTGTAAAGATGGACATCTACAGATAGGAGATAAGATACTGGCTGTAAGCAACACACTGACTGACACACTGACTGACACACTGACACACTGACACACTGACACACTCACTGACACACTGACTGACACACTCACAGACACACTGACTGACACACTGACACACTGACTGACACACTGACACACTGACACACTCACTGACACACTGACTGACACACTCACAGACACACTGACTGACACACTGACTGACACACTCACTGACACACTGACTGACACACTCACAGACACACTGACTGACACACTGACTGACACACTCACTGACTCACTGACACACTGACTGACACACTCACTTACACACTGACTGACACACTCACAGACACACTGACACACTGACACACTCACAGACACACTGACTGACACACTGACTGACACACTAACAGACACACTGACTGACACACAGACACACTCACTGACACACTGACTCACACACTAACAGACACACTGACTGACACACAGACACACTCACTGACACACTGACTGACACACTCACTTACACACTGACTGACACACAGACACACTCACTGACACACTGACTGACACACTCACTTACACACTGACTGACACACTCACTGACACACTGACACACAGACACACTCACTGACACACTGACTGACACACTCACTGACACACTCACTGACACACTCACTGACACACTCACTGACACACTCACTGACACACTGACTGACACACTCACTGACACACTAACTGACACACTCACTTACACACTGACTGACACACTCACAGACACACTGACACACTGACACACTCACAGACACACTGACTGACACACTGACTGACACACTCACAGACACACTGACTGACACACAGACACACTCACAGACACACTGACTGACACACTGACTGACACACTGACTGACACACCCACTGACACACTCACTGACAGACTGACTGACACACTCACAGACACACTGACTGACACACTCACAGACACACTGACTGACACACTCACTGACACACTGACTGACACACCCACTGACACACTCACTGACAGACTGACTGACACACTCACAGACACACTCACAGACACACTCACTGACACACTCACTGACACACTCACTGACACAATACAAAATAAATAAACTGAAATATGACATTTACATAAGTATTCATCTCTTCTCTGAGCTGGAGGACTCCTGATATCTCCAGGGGTGATACATATAATTGTTTTGTCTGTTGTGGTCTAGTGCTGTCTTGTTGCTAGCTAGGGCCATCTACTTGAGGTGCTTCCTGTCTTCCCAGTGGCCTACTTGGTGTGTGAACTGCTGACTGGTATTAACTTGCAGATAGTTGTTGACACATCAACCAGGATCAGGGGGCGGGGCAATTTGTGACTTGTTTTGGTAATCAGTTGCTGTATTGGATGGGGAGTGGTTTCTCCTCTCCTAGGCAATCAGCAATTAGTACAGGGAGGTACTAATTGGGAGGTGTACTCTCCTCCCTTTCTGCATCCTATTACTCGCACTGTCCCCTTTCCTCCTGGCCGGCTCGGCCCTCCCCTCCTGCTCCGTGGCTGAGTGGCTCATTGTGAGCTTACAGAACAGGGCTGGGGGCAGCTGAGAGAAAATGGAGGAAAACTAAACTTCCGGAGGACCTATCATCCTTTCACTCCCTCCTCTCTACTTCTCTTCCTCTGTATCGCCTAAGCCATCCTTTCCTCCCCTCCTCTCACCTTCTCTTCCTCGTACCCGCTGCTAACCTTTTTCCCCTCCCCCCCTTTTTAAAATTTTTTCCTCTGTATCTCGCTAAACCCCTCCTTCCCCTCCCCTCCTCCCTTTCTCTTCTCTGTTCTGCTGCAAAAAGCCATCCTTTTCCCCCTCTCTCCCTTCCTTCCTCTGATTGGAAAGCCATCCTTTCCTCCCCTTTAAAACCTTTCCTTTTCCCTGTACTGCTGAAAACCCACCCCCTTTCCCCCCCTTCCCTTCCTTCCCCTTCCCTTGATCTGGTAAACCCACCCTTTTCCCCCCCTTTCTCCCCCTTCTTTCCCTGTATCGTGCTAAACCCAACCTTTCACTCCCCCTTTTCCCTTCCTTTCCCCTCTGAATCTCTTAAGCCATCCTTTCACTCCCTTCTTCCCTTCTTTTCTCTGTTCGGCTAAACCCATCCTTTCCTCCCCCCTCTCAACCTTCCCTTCCCGATTGTGCAAAACCCATCCTTTCCCCCCTCCCTCTCCCTTCCCCCCTCGTATTGTTTAAAAACCCCCTCCTTTCACCCCCCTCCTCTTCCTTCTTTTTCCTTTGTTCTGCTGCTAAACCATCCTTTTCACTCCCTCCTCCTACCTCTTTTCCTCTTTTTTCCGGTTTCTAAGCCATCCTTTCACCCCTCCTCTTACCTTTTTTCCCTCGTATCTGCTGCTAAGCCCCCTTTTCATCCCTTTCCCCCTTCTCCCTTTTCTTTCCCCTCTTATCTCTGCAAAAGCCATCCTTTTCACCCCCCTTTTCCCCTCCCCTCTCAAAACATCCCCCCTCCTCTCTACCTTTCTCTCCCCTGTTCGCTGCTAAAGCATCCTTCCACCCCCTCCTCCTACCTTTTTCCTCGTATTGCGCTAAAGCCCCTTTCCCTCCCTCCTCTCTCCTTTCTTTCTTTTTCCTGCTAAACCCACCCTTTTCACTCCCCCTCTCTACCTTTCCCTGTATTTTTGCGCAAAACCCACCCTTTCCCCCCCCCCTCTTACCTCCCTTTCCTTGTATCTGCTGTAACCATTTTCCCCTCCCCCCTCTCACCTTCTTTCCTCTGATTTTTGGGCTGCTAACCCATCCTTTCACCCCCTCCCCCTAACCTTCTCTCCGTATTGTGCAAAAGCCATTTTTCCCCCCTCCCTACCTTCTTTTCCCCCTTGTATTGCTGTAAGTTTTCATCCCTCCTCTCTACCTTCTTTCCTCTGTACTGCTCTAAAGAAACCCTTTCACTTCTCCCCTCTCCCTTTCCCTTCCTTTATCTTTTCTAAAGCCATCCTTCCCTCCCTTCCCCCCAATTCCCCTTTTCTGATCTGGTAACCATCCTTACCCCTCCTCTCCCCTTCTCTTCCCTGTATTGCTGCAAAGCCATCCTTTCACTTCCCTTTCAAACCTTTCCCTTTTCCTCTTTTCTGTGAAAAAGCTCCTTTAAACCCCCCTCTTACCTTCCCTTTTCCTTGTTTGCTGTAAACCACCCTTTACCCCCTCCTTTAAAATTTTTCCTCTTTCGGCTAAACCCATCCTTTACTCCCCCCTTTCCCTTCTTTTTCCCTGACCCCTGCTAAACCATTTTTTCACCCCCTCCTCTCTCCCTTTCTTTCCTTTTTTCCCGCGCAAAAGCCACCTTTCCTCCCTCCTCTTTTACCTTTCTTCCTCTGTTCTGTGCTAAACCCATCCTTTTACTCCCTCCCTCTCCCTTCTCTTCCTTGTACTGTGCAAAAGCCTCCTTTCACCCCCCCTCTCTACCTTCCTCCTTGTATCTGTGCAAAGCCTCCTTTCCCTCCCCCCTCTCTACCTTCTTCCTTGTATCTTGCTAAGATCCTTTACCTCCCTCCCTCTCCCTTCCTTTCTGACTGTGCTAAAGCCTCCTTTCACCCCCTCCTTTACCTTCCCCCCCCTGTATCTGCTGCTAAAGCCACCCCTTTCACCCCCCTCTTTTCCCTTCTCCCTTTCTTTTCTGCGTAAAGCCACCCTTTTTCCCTCCCTCCTTTTAAAACCTTCTCTTCCTCTTATTGTGCTAAAGCCATCCTTTCACTCCCTCCTTTTTACCTTCCTTCCCTGTATCTGCTGCTAAAGCCATCCTTTCATTTCTTCCTCTCTACCTTCCCCTTTCCTTATCCCTGCAAAAGCCATCCTTTCATCCCCCCTCTATTCGCTTCCTCGTTTTTGTGCTAAACCATCCTTTCATCCCCCTCTCTACCTTCTTTCCTCTGATCGCTGCTAAAGCCCCCTTTCACTCCCTCCTCTCTACCTTCTCCCTCTGTATCTCCTAAAGCCCCCTTCCACTCCCTCCTCTCTACTTCCTTCCTCTTGTATCTGCTTGCTAAAGCCCCCTTTTCATCCCTCCTCTTACTTCTCTTCCCTTTTGGCAAAAGTTTTTCCCCCTCCTCTCAAACCTTCTCTCCTCTTTCTCTCAAACCCCCTTTTTTCATCCCTCCTCTCTACCTTCTTTTCTCTGGTATGGCAAAGCCACCCTTTTTACTCCCTCCTTTACCTTCTTTCCCCTCTTTCTGCGTAACCCTCCTTTCCTCCCTCCTCTTACCTTCTTTCCTCGTATCTTGCTAAACCCACCCTTTTTCACTCCCTCCCTTACCTTTTTCCTCGTATTGCGCTAAACCACCCTTTTTCACTCCCCTCTCTCCCTTCTTTTTCCCTGTATTTTCGTAACCCATCCCTTTAAACTCCCTTTCCCTTTCCTTTTCCTCTGTATCTGCTCAAAAGCCATCCTTTCCCTCCCCCCTTTACTTCTCTTCCTCTGATCTGCTGCAAAACCATCCTTTCACTCCCCCCTCTTCTACCTTCTCTTCCTCTGTTCTGTGCAAAACCCACCCTTTTCCTCCCCCCCCTTTTTCCTTTTTTCCCTCGTATTGTGCAAAAACCCACCTTTCATCCCTCCCTCCTCTACCTCCTCTTTCCTGATTGGCAAACCCTCCTTTCACTCCCCCCCCTCTCTCCCTTTCTCTTCCTCTGATTGTCTAAGCCCCCTTTTTTAACTCCCTCCTTTTTCCTTCTTTCCCTCTGTATCTGCGCTAAGCCATCCTTTTCACTCCCCCCTCTCTCCCTTCTCACCTTGTTCTGCTGCTAAACCCAACTTTCTACCACTTACTTTAAAGCTTCTGCCTTTCCCCTTTAAATCCCCACCCCCTCCCCCTCCCTCCTCCCTCTCTGCGGACATCTTTGTCAACCACTTTGAAAAAAAGACATCCGCTACTCATTCACTCATCCTATTGAGTCCACTGGTCTTACTCACAGGTCTCACTCACACAGAACTACCTTACGCCTTGACCTCTTTCTCCTCCAGATTACATCCTGCGACTAGTGAGGTCTGGCCGCCGACAACCTGCCCCCTCGAACCCATCCCCTCCTCCCTTCTCCAGACCATTTCTGGAGAGCTTCTCCCATTCCTCACTTCCCTCATCAACTCATCCCTGACCACTCGAACCCATCCCCTCCTCCCTTCTCCAGACCATCTCTGGAGACCTTCTCCCATTCCTCACCTCCCCTCATCAACTCATCCCTGACCACTAGACCCCATCCCCTCCTCCCTCCTCCAGACCATCTCTGTAGACCTTCTCCCATTCCTCCCTTCCCTCATCAACTCATCCCTGACCACTGGCTGCGTCCCCTCTGACTTCAAAATGGCCTGAGTTACTCAACCGAGACTGCTCTTCTCTGTGTCACGGAGGCTCTCCGCACTGCCAAAGATCCTCCTCTCCACCCTCTCAGGGCTGGGCGTCTCAGGCTCTGCACACTCTTGGATTGCATCCTACCTGGCAGGCTGATCCTATCAGGTGATGTGGAGAGGATATGTGTCTGCACCACGTACTCTCACAACTGGTGTCCCCCAGGGCTCGGTTCTAGACCCTCTCCTCTTCTCTCTACACCAAGTCACTCGGCTCCGTCATATCCTCACATGTTCTCTCCTATCATTGCTATGTGGATGACACTCAACTACTTTTCTCCTTCCCCCCTTCTGACACCCAGGTGGTGACACGCATCTCTGCGTGCCTGGCAGATATCTCAACTTGGGATGTTGGCCCACCACCTCAAGCTCAACCTCGAAAAGACGGAACTGTTCTTCCTCCCGGGGAAGGCCTGCCTGCTCAAGACCTCTCCATCATGGTTGACAACTCCACAGTGTCGCCCTCCCAGAGTGCAAAGAACCTTGGCGTGACCCTGGACAACACCCTGTCATTCTCTGCAAACATCAAAGCAGTGACCCTCCGGTTCATGCTCAACAACATCCGTAGAGTAAGACCCTACCTCACACAGGAAGTGGCGCAGGTCCTAATTCAGGCACTTGTCCTCTCCTATCTGGACTACTGCAACTTGCTGTTTGCTAGGCTCCCCCATGAGAAACAAGATTCTCTGGTCTGATGAAACCAAGATTAAACTCTTTGGCCTGAATGCCAAGCGTCACGTTTCGAGGAAACCTGGCACCACCATCCCTACAGTGAAGCATGGTGGTGGCAGCATCATGCTGTGGGGATGTTTTTCAGCGGCAGGGACTGGGAGACAAGTCAGGATTGAGGGAAAGATGAACGGAGCAAAGTACAGAGACCTATATGTATTTGTATTTATTATGGATCCCCATTAGCAGCTACTCTTCCTGGTGTCCAGCAAAATTAAGGCAGTTATACATTTAAAAACCATTACAATACATTCATAACAGATTTCACAACACATTAAGTATGTGTCCTCAGGCCTCTACTCTACTACCACATATCTACAACACAACATCCATGTGTACGTGTGTGTATAGTGCGTATGTTATCGTGTGTTTGTATGCATGTGTCTATGTTTGTGTTGCTTCACAGTCCCCGCTGTTCCATAAGGTTTATTTTATCTGTTTTTTAAATCTAATTTTACTGCTTGCATCAGTTACTTGATGTGGAATAGAGTTCCATGTAGTCATGGCTCTATGTAGTACTGTGCGCCTCCCATAGTCTGTTCTGGACATGGGGACTGTGAAGAGACCTCTGGTGGTATGTCTTGTGGGGTATGCATGGGTGTCCAAGCTGTGTGCCAGTAGTTCAAACAGACAGCTCGGTGCATTCAACATGTCAATACCTCTCAAAAATAGAAGTAGTGATGAAGTCGATCTCTCCTCCACTTTGAGCCAGGAGAGATTGACATGCAAATTATTAATGTTCGCTCTCTGTGTACATACAAGGGCCAGCTGTGCTGCCCTGTTCTGAGCCAATTGTAATTTTCCTAAGTCCCTCTTTTTGGCACCTGACCACACGACTGAACAGTAGTCCAGGTGCGTCAAAACTAGGGCCTGTAGGACCTGCCTTGTTGATAGTGCTGTTAAGAAGGTAGAGCAGCGCTTTATTATGGACAGACTTCTCCCCATCTTAGCTACTGTTGGATCAATATGTTTTGACCATGACAGTTTACAATCCAGAGTTACTCCAAGCAGTTTAGTCACCTCAACTTGCTCAATTTCCACATTATTCATTACAAGATTTAGTTGAGGTTTAGTGAATGATTTGTCCCAAATACAATGCTTTTAGTTTTTGAAATATTTAGGACTAATTTATTCCTTGCCTCCCATTCTGAAACTAACTGCAGCTCTTTGTTAAGTGTTGCTGTCATTTCAGTTGCTGTAGTAGCTGAAGTGTATAGTGTGGAGTCATCCGCATACATAGACACACTGGCTTTATTCAAAGCCAGTGGCATGTCGTTAGTAAAGATTGAAAAAAGTAAGGGGCCTAGACAGCTGCCTTGGGGAATTCCTGATTCTACCTGGATTATGTTGGAGAGGCTTCCATTAAAGAACAACATCTTTGTTCTGTTAGACAGGTAACTCTGTATCCACAATATAGCAGGGGGTGTAAAGCCATAACACATACGTTTTCCTATCAGCAGACTATGATCGATAATGTCAAAAGCCGCACTGAAGTCTAACAAAACAGCCCCCTCAATCTTTTTATCATCAATTTCTCTCAGCCAATCATCAGTCATTTGTGTAAGTGCTGTGCTTGTTGAATGTCCTTTCCTATAAGCGTGCTGAAAGCCTGTTGTCAATTTGTTTACTGTAAAATAGTATTTTATCTGGTCAAACACAATGTTTTCCAAAGGTTTACTAAGGGTTGGTAACAGGCTGATTGGTCGGCTATTTGAGCCAGTTAAGGGGGCTTTACTATTCTTAGGTAGGGGGATAACTTTTGCTTCCCTCCAGGACTCAGGGCACACATGTTCTAGTACAGGGTTCTTCAATTCCGGTCCTGGAGGGCCGAAACACTTCAGTTTTTTATTTCTACCTGGTAGTTAATTGCACTCACCTGGTGTCCCAGGTCTGAATTATCCCCTGATTAGAAGGAGAGGATGAAAAACAGAGGACCCTGTTCTAGTAGGCTTAAATAGGAGAGGCTATTATCCTCAGTAATTTTCCATCCAAGTTGTCAGACCCCGGTGGCTTGTCATTGTTGATTGACAATAATACTTTTTTCACCTCTTTTACATTTACATTTTAGTCATTTAGCAGACGCTCTTATCCAGAGCGACTTACAGTTAGTGAGTGCATAAATTTTTTCATACTGGCCCCCCGTGGGAAACGTACCCACAACCCTGCCGTTGCAAGCGCCACGCTCTACCAACTGAGCTACACGGGGCCTCTTCCACGCTTACTTTACGGAATTCAAAATTACAATGCTTATCTGTCAAAGTGCCAGCGTTTGTTGCTGGCATGTCATGCCTAAAATTGCTAATCTTGCCAATAAAAAAATTATTAAAGTTTTTGTGATGAATGAGCCATCTGATTCAATGAATGATGGAGCGGAGTTTGCCTTTTTGCCCAAAATTTCATTTATGTCATGTATAGTATCTATGTCATGACTATGTCTCTGTGTCCCCAGGTGAACCAGTATCTATGTCATAACTATGTCTCTGTGTCCCCATGTCATGACTATGTCTCTGTGTCCCCATGTCATGACTATGTCTCTGTGTCCCCATGTCATGACTATGTCTCTGTGTCCCCAGGTGAACCAGGTCTGTCTAGAAGATGTGATGCATGAAGACGCAGTAGCAGCTTTGAAGAACACAGCCGAGGTGGTCTACCTGAGAGTAGCCAAACCTTCACACCTCTACACACCTGACCAGTACAGTCCCCCTGACCTCACCTGTACGTATCTCTATACACCTACACACCTGACCAGTACAGTCCCCCTGACCTCACCTGTACGTATCTCTATACACCTACACACCTGACCAGTACAGTCCCCCTGACCTCACCTGTACGTATCTCTATACACCTACACACCTGACCAGTACAGTCCCCCTGACCTCACCTGTACGTACACACCTCTACACACCTCTACACACCTCTACACACCTCTACACACCTCTAACACCTCTACACACCTCTACACACCTCTACACACCTCTACACACCTCTACACACCTCTACACACCTCTAACTCCTCTACACTCCTCACACACCTCTACACACCTCTACACACCTCTACACACCTCTACACACCTCTAACACCTCTACACACCTCTACACACCTCTACACACCTCTACACCCTCTACACACCTCTATACACCTCTAACTCCTCTACACTCCTCTACACACCTCTACACACCTACACACCTCTACACACCTCTACACACCTCTATACACCTCTACACACCTCTACACACCTTTACACACCTCTACACACCCCTAACTCCCTACACACCTCTACACACCTCTACACACCTCTACACACCTCTAACACCTCTACACACCTCTACACTCCTCTACACACCTCTACACACCTCTAACTCCTCTACACACCTCTACACACCTCTAACACACCTCTACACACCTCTAACACCTCTACACACCTCTAACTCCTCTACACACCTCTACACACCTCTACAAAACCTCTATCTCCTCTAACAACCTCTACACACCCTCTAACACCTCTACCCCTACACACCTCTACACACCTCTACAAACCCAACACCTCTACAAAACCTCTAACACTCCTCTAACTCCTCTACACACCTCTACACACCTCTAACACACCTCTACACCTCTACCCTCTACTACACCTCTACCCTCTACTACACCTCTACTACACCTCTATCTCCTCTACACACCTCTACACACCTTCTAACACCTCTACAAAACCGCTACACACCTCTACACTCCTCTACACACCTCTACAACCACCCTCTACACAACCTCTACCACCCTCTACACACCTCTAACCCTCCCTACCACCTCTACACACTAACCACACCTCTACAACCTCTACAAACACTCTACACCCCCTACACACCTCTCCTACACCCTCTACCCCCTCTACACCTATACACCCTCACACCTCTACAACCTCTAACACAACACCTCTACACCTCTACACACCTCTCCAACACCCTCTACAACACCTCTACACACCTCTACAAACACCTCTACACACCTCTACACACCTCTACCCACCTCTACACACCTCTACACACCTCTACACACCTCTAACACCCCTACACACCTCTACACACCTCTACACACCTCTACACACCTCTAACACCTCTACACACCTCTACACACCTCTAACCCTCTAACACCTCAACACTTTACAACACCCTCTACACACTCTAACTCTCTACACACCTCTACACACCTCTAACTCCTCTACACAAACACCCCGCACACCCCTCTACACACCTCTACACCCTCTACACAACCTCATACACACCTCTAACTCCTCTACCACCCCTACACCTCACACCCCTACACACCTTACACACCTCTAACTCACAACACTCTACCCACACCTCTACACACCTCTACACACCTCTACACCTCTACACCTCTACACACCTCTACACACCTCTACAAAACCTCTACCCACCTCTACACAACTCTACACCCCTACACAACCTCTACACACACCTCAACACCTCTACCCTCTACACCCCTCTAACCCTCTACACACCCTTACACCACACCCTCTACACCACCTCTACACCCTCTAACACCTCTACACACCCTCAACACCTCTACACACACCTCTATCACAAACCCCTACCACCCTCTACACCTCTACACCCACACCTCTACACACCACACACCTCTACACCCTCTACAACCTCTAACACCTCTACAAAACACCCCTAACACCTCTACACACCTCTAAACCCCCTCTAACACCTTAACCCTCACACCCCCTCTAACACCTCTACAAAACACCTCTACACACCTCTAACACCTCTAACTCCTCTAACACCTTCTTACAGCTCACACACCCTCCCCCACCAACCCTAACTCCTCTACACCCCTCTACACACCTCTAACAACCTCTACACACCTCTAACACCTCTACCACACCTCTACACACCTCTACACACCCTCTACACACCTCTACACACCTCTACCACCTCACAAAACCTCTACACACCTCTAACACCTCAACCACCAACCTCTACACACCTCTACACACCTCTAACACCTCTACACACCTCTACACTCCTCTAACTCCTCTACACACCTCTACACACCTCTACACACCTCTACACACCTCTACAACACCTCTAACACCTCTACAACACCCCTACAAAACCTCTACCAACCTCTACACCCTCTACACACCTTCTACACACCTCTACACCTCTACACACCTCTACACACCTCTATACACCTCTACACACCTCTACACACCTCTACACTCCTCTACACACCTCTAACCCCCCTACACACCTCTACACACCTCTACACACCTCTAACACCTCTACACACCTCTACACACCTCTACAACACCCGTAACCTCCCTACACACCTCTACACAACCCTCTACACCACCTCTAACACCTATACACACCTCTACACACCTCTACACACCTCTACAACACCTCTAAAACAACCGTCTACAACAACCTCTAACTCCTCTAAAACCCCCAACCTCTAACACCTCTACACCCCCCTCTACACCTCTACACACCTCTAACTCCTCTACACACCTCTACACAACCCTCTACACACCTCTACACTCCTCTACACACCTCTAACTCCCCTACACACCTCTACACACCTCTACACACCTCTACACACCTCTACACACCCTCACCCCTCTACACACCTCTAACTCCCCTACACACCTCTACACACCTCTACAAAACCTCTACTCACACCTCTACAACACCCTAACTCCACAACCTCTACACACCTCTACACACCTCTACACACCTCTAACCCCCTCTACACACCTCTACACACCTCTAACTCCTCTACACACCTCTACACACCTCTACACACCTCTACACACCTCTACACACCTCTACCCCCTAAAAACAACCTCTACACACCCTACACACCTCTACACACCTCTAACACCTCTAACACACCCTCTACACACCTCTACACACCTCTACACACACCTCTAACTCCCCTACACACCTCTAAATCACACCCCTACACACCTCTACACACCTCTACACCACCTCTACACACCTCTACCACCTCTACCCCCAACCTCTACAAACCCCCTACACACACCTCTAACACCTCCAACCACACCCTCTACACACCTCTAACCCCTACACACCTCCCACACACCTCTACACAACCCCTCTAACCACCCTACACACCTCTAACTCCCACACACCTACACACACCTCTACACACCTCTAAAACCTCTACAACCCTCTACACACCTCTACACCCACCTCTACACACCCTCTAAACCACCTCTACACACCTCTACACCCTCTACACCCCCTCACACCTCTACACACCTCTACACCCTCTAACCCCACACACTCTAACCCCCTACACACCTCTACACACCCTCTACACACCTCTACACCCTCTACACACCTCTACAACACCTCTACACACCTCTACACACACCTCTACACACCTCTACACACCTCTACACCACCTCTACAACCTCTAACACCTCTACACACCTCTACACACCTCTACACTCCTCGACACACCCCTCTACACACCTCTAACACACCTCTACACCCCTACACCTCTACAACACCTCCACACACCTCTAACTCCTCTACACACCTCTACACACCTCTACACACCTCTACACACCTCTACACCCTACTCTCACACCACACCTCTACAACCTCTACACCCTACACACCTCTACACACCTCTAAAACCTCTACACACTCTAACTCCTCTAAAACTCACACCTCTACACACCTCTAAACCCCCTCTACACACCCACACACCTCTAACACCCTCACCCTACCCCCCACCTCTAACAACACCTCTAACCAACCCCTACACACCTCTACAACACCTCGACACACCCCTACACACCTGCTCCCACACCCCTACAACACACCCTACACAACCTCTACACCCTCACACCTACAAACCCTCTACACACCCTCAACCCTTCCTACACCACACTCTACACACCCTCTACACACCTCTACACACCTCACACCCCTCTACAACACCTCTAACACCCTACACACCTCTAACCCCTACCACCTCTACACCTCCCTCTACACACCTCTACAACCCTCTACAAACACACACCTTCTCCTACACACCTCTACAAAACCTCTAACACCCTAACTCCTCTAAAAACACCTCTACACACCTCTACACCCAACACCTCTACACACCTCTACCCCCTACACCCTCTACACACCTCTACACACCTCTACACACCTCTACCACACCTCTAACTCCTCTACACACCCTAACCACCACTCTACACACCTACCCCTCTACACAACCTCTAACACCTCTACACACCTCTACAACTCCTCTACACACCTCTAACAATCTACACACCTCTACACACCTCTACACACCTCTACACCACCTCTACACACCTCTAAACACCTCTACACCCCTACAACACTCTACAAAACCCACAACACCTCTACACCTCACCCTCTACAACCTCTAACACTCTACACACCTCTACACACCTCTAACCTCTAACAAAACCTCTACAACACCTCTACAAAAACCTCTACAACACCCTCTCCTACACACCTCTACACCTCTACACACCTCTACACAACCTCTAACCCTCTACACCACCTCTACCACCCTACACACCTCTAAACCCCTACACACTCTAACCACACACCTCTACACACCTCTAACCCTCTACACCCTCTACACACCTCTAACACCCTCTACACACCTCTACACACCTCTAACCCCACCACACCTCTAACACCTCTACACACCTCTACCCCACCTCTCACACCTCTAACACCTCTACACACCTCTACACACCTCACACCCCTAACACCTCTACACACCTCTACACACCTCTACACACCTCTACACTCTACACACCTCTAACACCTCTACAACCACAACACCTCTACACACCTCTAACCCTCTACCACCTCTACACCCTCTACACACCTCTACACACTCTAAACACCTCTAACTCCTCTACACACCTCTACACCACCTCTAAAACACCTCTACACAACCTCTACACCCTCTACACACCTCTACACAACCTCTAACCCTCTACACACCTCTACACCTCACACCTCTAACACCTCTACACAACCCTCACACCTCTACAACCCTCTACACTCACACCTCTAACACCTCTACACACTCTACACCTCTAACACCCTCTACCACCTCTAACCTCCTCTAACACCTCTTTCAAAACCTCTACACACCTCTACTCCTCTACACACCTCACAACTCACACTCTACAAACCTCTACAAATCTACACTACCCGCTCACACCCCCTCACACCCTCTAACACCTACACAATCCACACCTACCACCTCTACACACCTACACACCTCACACACCTCTACACGACCTCACAAAACCTCTAACCCTCTACACCCTCTACCCCTCTAACACCCAACCTTACCATCTACAACCTCACACCGCTAACAGAAACACCTTCACCTGCTACACCCAACACAATGACTAACCCGACACCGAAACCGCGCACGATCTTAACCCTCTACAACAATGATAAACTCTACAAATTAATTGCAATACCTATAAATAACCCTAAAAAACCTCCTACAATTAACCCTCTACAACTCAACTCTCATCTACAACAGTCATTAGAGTTACAGTACCTACATCAATTAAATACATAGAGATTACAGTCGACAATCAAAGATACAGGAGCTTAAGGGGACCGGTAAGTCAATGTAATACAGTAGGGAGGCTAATATAAAGGGGTACCGGTACAGAGTCAATGGGAAATAACAGTAGGGAGGCTATATACAGGGGGTACCGGTACAGAGTCAATGTGTAATAACAGTAGGGAGGCTATATACAGGGGTACCGGTACAGAGTCAATGGGAAATAACAGTAGGGAGGCTATATACAGGGGGTACCGGTCAGAGTCAATGGGAAATAACAGTAGGGAGGCTATATACAGGGGGGGTACCGGTACAGAGTCAATGGGAAATAACAGTAGGGAGGCTATATACAGGGGGTACGGTACAGAGTCAATGGAATAACAGTAGGAGGCTATATACAGGGGGTACCAGTACAGAGTCAATGTGTAAAACAGTAGGGAGGCTATATACAGGGGGTACCGGTACAGAGTCAATGTGTAATAACAGTAGGGAGGCTATATACAGGGGGTACCGGTACAGAGTCAATGTGTAATAACAGTAGGGAGGCTATATACAGGGGGTACCGGTACAGAGTCAATGCAAATAGTCCGGGTAGCCATTTGATTAGATGTTCAGGAGTCTTATGGCTTGGGGGTAGAAGCTGTTAAGAAGCCTTTTGGACCTAGACTTGGTGCTTCGGTACCGCTTGCCGTGCGGTAGCAGAGAGAACAGTCTATGACTAGGGTGGCTTGAGTCTTTGACAATTTTGAGGGCCTTCCTCTGACACCGCCTGGTATAGAGGTCCTGGATGGCAGGGAGCTTTGCCCCAGTGATGTACTGGGCCGTACGCACTACCCTCTGTAGTGCCTTGCGGTCGGAGGCCGAGCAGTTGCCATACCAGGCAGTGATGCAACCAGTCAGGATGCTCTCGATGGGGCAGCTGTAGAACCTTTTGAGGATCTGAGGACCCATGGCAAATCTTTTTAGTCTCCTGAGGGGGAATAGGCTTTGTCGTGCCCTCTTCAAGACTGTCTTGGTGTGTTTGGACCATGATAGTTCGTTGGTGATGTGGACACCAAGGATATTGAAGCTCTCAACCTGTTCCACTACAGCCCCGTCGATGAGAATGGGGGCGTGCTCAGTCCTCTGGCCAGTTTGTTAATGTACCAGGGTCTAGCTCTACACATTCAACCTCATCTCTCTCTCTATCTCTCCCTGTCTCTGCAGCATACATGGACCCAGACATGGGCACTAACTACCTAGATTACCCACAATCCTCTCTGCCACCGCCCTCGCCACGACGCTACTCACCCATACCGCACGGCATGATGGGAGAAGACGACATCCCCAGGTCAGGACACACACACACAAATTTAAATGTAACTCAAATCAAATCATGTATGTCAAATCAGACATCAGATCATTACCTCAGGTTGGGATGTATGGAGAAATGTCTGTTTAATGTTGGATTCTATCTGTATGGAGAAATGTCTGTTTAATGTTGGATTCTATCTGTATGGAGACCTATTGGAAACATACTGGGCTGAGTGTTACAGGAGGTTATATCTATAGTAGAGAGGCCAGGCTGAGTGTTACAGGAGGTTATATCTATAGTAGAGAGACCAGGCTGAGTGTTACAGGAGGTTCTATCTATAGTAGAGAGACCAGGCTGAGTGTTACAGTAGATTCTATCTATAGTAGAGAGACCAGGCTGAGTGTTACAGGAGGTTATATCTATAGTAGAGAGGCCAGGCTGAGTGTTACAGGAGGTTATATCTATAGTAGAGAGACCAGGCTGAGTGTTACAGGAGGTTCTATCTATAGTAGAGAGGCCAGGCTGAGTGTTACAGGAGGTTATATCTATAGTAGAGAGACCAGGCTGAGTGTTACAGGAGGTTATATCTATAGTAGAGAGACCAGGCTGAGTGTTACAGGAGGTTCTATCTATAGTAGAGAGACCAGGCTGAGTGTTACAGGAGGTTATATCTATAGTAGAGAGACCAGGCTGAGTGTTACAGGAGATTATATCTATAGTAGAGAGACCAGGCTGAGTGTTACAGGAGGTTATATCTATAGTAGAGAGACCAGGCTGAGTGTTACAGGAGGTTCTATCTATAGTAGAGAGGCCAGGCTGAGTGTTACAGGAGGTTATATCTATAGTAGAGAGACCAGGCTGAGTGTTACAGGAGGTTATATCTATAGTAGAGAGACCAGGCTGAGTGTTACAGGAGGTTCTATCTATAGTAGAGAGACCAGGCTGAGTGTTACAGGAGGTTAGGGTTATACTGTGTGTAATCATGTCTTCTAGTAGAGAGGCCAGGCGTGTGTTTATCCACCGAGGGTCGACCGGTCTGGGTTTTAACATCGTGGGGGGAGAAGACGGTGAGGGGATCTTCATCTCCTTCATCCTCGCTGCAGGACCAGCTGATCTCTCAGGAGAACTACGCAAGGGAGACCAGATCATGAGTGTGAGTAGTGTTATGTAGTGTTATGTAGTGTTATGTAATGTTTTGTAGTGTTATGTAGTGTTACATAGTGTTACGTAGTGTTATGTAGTATTATGCAGTGTTACAAAGTGTTATGTAGTGTTATGTAGTATTATGCAGTGTTACAAAGTGTTATGTAGTGTTATGTAATGTTTTGTAGTGTTATGTAGTGTTACATAGTGTTACGTAGTGTTATGTAGTATTATGTAGTGTTACGTTGTGTTATGTAGTGTTATGTAATGTTACATAGTGTTACGTTGTGTTATGTAGTATTACATAGTGTTACGTAGTGTTACGTAGTGTTATATAGTGTTAGGTAGTGTTTCGTAGTGTTACGTAGTGTTACGTAGTGTTAGGTAGTGTTTCGTAGTGTTACGTAGTGTTATGTAGTGTTAGGTAGTGTTACGTAGTGTTACGTAGTGTTACGTAGTGTTACGTAGTGTTAGGTAGTGTTACGTAGTGTTAGGTAGTGTTACGTAGTGTTACGTAGTGTTACATAGTGTTACATAGTGTTACGTAGTGTTACATAGTGTTATATAGTGTTAGGTAGTGTTTTGTAGTGTTTCGTAGTGTTTCGTATTGTTACGTAGTGTTACATAGTGTTACGTAGTGTTACGTAGTGTTATATATGTTACATAGTGTTACGTAGTGTTATGTAGTGTTACGTAGTGTTACGTAGTGTTACGTAGTGTTACATTTACATTACATTTTTACATTTTAGTCATTTAGCAGACGCTCTTATCCAGAGCGACTTACAGGAGCAATTAGGGTTAAGTGTCTTGCTCAAGGGCACATCGACAGATTTTTCACCTAGTCAGCTCGGGGATTAGAACCAGCGACCTTTCGGTTACTGGCACAGCGCTCTTAACCACTAAGCTTATGTAGTGTTACGTAGTGTTTCGTAGTGTTACGTAGTGTTAGGTAGTGTTATGGAGTGTTAGGTAGTGTTACGTAGTGTTACGTAGGGTTATGTAGTGTTACATAGTGTTATGTAGTGTTACATAGTGTTATGTAGTGTTACATAGTGTTATGTAGTGGTATGTGCTGCAGGATCAGCTGATCTCTCAGGAGAACTACACAATGGAGACCAGATCATGAGTGAGAAGAGAACACACACACACACACAGTGCACGGAGACACACACACAGTGCACGGAGACACACACACAGTGCACGGAGACACACACACAGTGCACGGAGACACACACACAGTGCACGGAGACACACACACAGTGCACGGAGACACACACACAGTGCACGGAGACACACACACAGTGCACGGAGACACACACACAGTGCACGGAGACACACACACAGTGCACGGAGACACACACACAGTGCACGGAGACACACACACAGTGCACGGAGACACACACACAGTGCACGGAGACACACACACAGTGCACGGAGACACACACACAGTGCACGGAGACACACACACAGTGCACGGAGACACACACACAGTGCACGGAGACACACACACAGTGCACGGAGACACACACACAGTGCACGGAGACACACACACAGTGCACGGAGACACACACACAGTGCACGGAGACACACACACAGTGCACGGAGACACACACACAGTGCACGGAGACACACACACAGTGCACGGAGACACACACACAGTGCACGGAGACACACACACAGTGCACGGAGACACACACACAGTGCAGGGAGACACACACACAGTGCACGGAGACACACACACAGTGCACGGAGACACACACACAGTGCACGGAGGACACACACACAGTGCACGGAGACACACACACAGTGCACGGAGACACACACAGTGCACGAGACACACACCAGTGCACGGAGACACACACACAGTGCACGGAGACACACACACAGTGCACGGAGACACACACACAGTGCACGGAGACACACACACAGTGCAGGGAGACACACACACAGTGCACGGAGACACACACACAGTGCACGGAGACACACACACAGTGCAGGGAGACACACACACAGTGCAGGGAGACACACACACAGTGCACGGAGACACACACACAGTGCACGGAGACACACGCGTACAGACGCACGTACACACAATGTAATGGTTATAATCGACAATCGCTCTGCAGGTGAACGGTTGTGAAGTGTTATGTCATATTAATGTAATGTTATGTAGTGTTATGTAATGGTTATAACTTCTCTGCAGGTGAACGGTGTGGATCTGAGACATGCGACTCATGAACAGGCTGCAGCAGCTCTGAAGAACGCTGGACAGACTGTTACTATCATCGCTCAGTATAGACCTGATGGTAAGAATATCACAGACCAGTATAGACCAGGACAGACCTGAGGGTAAGAATATGACAGACCAGTATAGACCAGGACAGACCTGATGGTAAGAATATCACAGACCAGTATAGACCAGGACAGACCTGAGGGTAAGAATATCACAGACCAGTATAGACCAGGACAGACCTGATGGTAAGAATATCACAGACCAGTATAGACCAGGACAGACCTGAGGATAAGAATATCACAGACCAGTATAGACCAGGACAGACCTGAGGGTAAGAATATCACAGACCAGTATAGACCAGTACAGACCTGAGGATAAGAATATCACAGACCAGTATAGACCAGGACAGACCTGATGGTAAGAATATCACAGACCAGTATAGACCAGTACAGACCTGAGGATAAGAATATCACAGACCAGTATAGACCAGTACAGAGCACAGGGTAAGTCTACTATAGACTAATAAGGACTAACTACATACTAATATGGACTACTACAGTCGACTATAATTTACTCTGGACTAAATACAGTCCACTATAGACTACTATAGACTAACTACTGACTACTATAGACTAACTACAGACTACTATAGACTAACTACAGACTACTATAGACTAACTACTGACCACTATAGACTAACTACTGACTACTATAGACTAACTACCGACTACTATAGACTAACTACTGACAACTATAGGCTAACTACTGACCACCATAGACTAACTACTGACTACTATAGACTAACTACTGACTACTATAGACTAACTACTGACTACTATAGACTAACTACTGACTACTATAGACTAACTACTGACTACTATAGGCTAACTACTGACTACTATAGACTAACTACTGACTACTATAGACTAACTACTGACTACTATAGACTAACTACTGACTACTATAGGCTAACTACTGACTACTATAGGCTAACTACTGGCTACTATAGACTAACTACTGACTACTATAGACTAACTACTGACTACTATAGACTAACTACCGACTACTATAGACTAACCAATGACCACTATAGACTAACCACTGACTACTATAGACTAACTACTGACTACTATAGACTAACTACTGACTACTATAGACTAACTACTGACTACTATAGACTAACTACTGACTACTATAGGCTAACTACTGACTACTATAGACTAACTACTGACTACTATAGACTAACTACTGACTACTATAGACTAACTACTGACTACTATAGACTAACTACTGACTACTATAGACTAACTACTGGCTACTATAGACTAACTACTGACTACTATAGACTAACTACTGACTACTATAGACTAACTACTGGCTACTATAGACTAACTACTGACTACTATAGACTAACTACTGACTACTATAGACTAACTACCGACTACTATAGACTAACCAATGACCACTATAGACTAACTACTGACTACTATAGGCTAACTACTGACTACTATAGGCTAACTACTGGCTACTATAGACTAACTACTGACTACTATAGACTAACTACTGACTACTATAGACTAACTACCGACTACTATAGACTAACCAATGACCACTATAGACTAACCACTGACTACTATAGACTAACTACTGACTACTATAGACTAACTACTGACTACTATAGACTAACCACTGACTACCATAGACTAACTACTGACTACTATAGACTAACTACTGAATGCCATAGACTAACTACTAACTACTATAGACTGACTACTGACCACTATAGACTAACTACAGACTACTATAGACTAACTACGGACTACTATAGACCAACTACTGACTACTATACACTAACTACTGACTACCATAGACTAACTACCGACTACTATAGACTAACTATAGACTACCAAATTCTAACTACTGACCACTATAGACTAACCACCGACTACTATAGACTAACTACTGACTACTATAGACTAACTACTGGCTACTATAGACTAACTACTGGCTACTATAGACTAACTACTGACTACTATAGACTAACTACTGACTACTATAGACTAACTACTGACTACCATAGACTAACTACTGACTACTATAGACTAACTACCGACTACCATAGACTAACTACTGACCACTATAGACTAACTACTGACTACTATAGACTAACTACTAACCACTATAGACTAACTACCGACTACTATAGACTAACTACCGACTACCATATACTAACTACTGACCACTATAGACTAACTACTGACCACTATAGACTAACTACCGACTACTATAGACTAACTACCGACCACCATAGACTAACTATAGACTACCATAGACTAACTACTGACCACTATAGACTAACTACAGACTACTATAGACTAACTACCGACCACTATAGACTAACTATAGACTACCATATTCTAACTACTGACTACTATAGACTAACTACCGACTACTATAGAGTAACTACCGACTACTATAGAGTAACCACTGACTACTATAGACTAACTACCGACTACTATAGACTAACTATAGACTACCAAATTCTAACTACTGACCACTATAGACTAACCACCGACTACTATAGACTAACTACTGACTACTATAGACTAACTACTGGCTACTATAGACTAACTACTGGCTACTATAGACTAACTACAGACTACTATAGACTAACTACAGACTACTATAGACTAACTACTGACCACTATAGACTAACTACTGACTACTATAGACTAACTACCGACTACTATAGACTAACTACTGACTACTATAGGCTAACTACTGACCACCATAGACTAACTACTGACTACTATAGACTAACTACTGACTACTATAGATTAACTACAGACTACTATAGACTAACTACTGGCTACTATAGACTAACTACTGACTACTATAGACTAACTACTGGCTACTATAGACTAACTACCGACTAC